TTCACCAGAACGTACTTAGGAGTTGGGGTGTGGGTGTAACAGGATGGAGGGATATTGTGTGGGGCCAGGCTAGGGGGCTATGTTGGCTCCAGCAGGTAGGTTGGGGGCCTCTCTTAATTCCCTAGTTCTAACCCACCTGCTCTCTCCCCCTTTGATCTTTTTTGCACTTGTGAGGCCGAAGGGACCTGAAGCTTCCTTAGGTACTACTAGGTGGAAGTTGGAAGTGGGCAGTTAATTCAGGATGACACTAAGGGATCTTGAAAAAGAAGCTGTTGAGGTGTGCTGACAGGTGAACAGAGTGGCATGTGACAAGCAAGAGAAGGTATCTTGGACAGATGTCAGGCTGGGCCTTTTCATGTGGTCTGTGACTTAGAAGTGAGAAGCAGCTTCCTAGACTATTCAAGGGCTCAGTAGCCATCTCTAGTCCCAGGCAGGGACACTAGACACTAGGAACAACATGTGAAAGAACCTCTCTTGTCAGAGCTCAAGTTCCTGAGTTGCTAATACCACTCATTTACCACCCAGTAGCATTTAGGACACAAAATCCTACCTAAAACCCAGTAAACAGGAAGCTCTCGGGCACACCTCAGCTCTGAGACACATATTTATGGGGCTGATTTGTGGTGGGCAATGGATCCTCATACAGTAATTTTAACTCTGCCTGCCCTGCCTCTCTGTCAAAGTAGTTAGTGATCTGTAAACAAATGCTGAAAGACACCAGGGAAGTTCATCATTTAAAGGACTCCAGCAGAGAATTCTTTTGTAAAATGAATAATGGCACCCTAATTTATACAGTTTCTAAATTTGGGTCCATGAGGGCGTATGGGGCATGCCCGTATGTCGTCATGAGCAGACAAGCGGAGTGGAGGCAATCTGAGGGTTCCTTCCCTTGTTCTCTTATTGCTGCATGAACTTAGGGATCCTACTACATATAATCCCCTCTCCCACTGACTGGCTGTGAGATACCCAGATAGCCAAGAGGGCAGCTTTGACTAAGGCTATATTTTGGGTTGCCATGTAACAGGTGAGTCTTTGGTTCTGGTATGGAGGGAAAGCTAACCTTGGGAGTCTTCATTCCTTGTGTTCTTTGGAGACAGGGTCAGATATAGGTACCTACATGTTGCCCTACTTGTAGCTCAGACAGTAGTTTGTATATTTGTTCCAAACCATTTGTAGGCTTTGGTCCAGCTAATAAAATAAAAATTGGTTTGGGGCTAGAGTTTTAAAAGCCAAGTAAGTGTCCAGAAGTGTGGGGACTCAGGTGGTCTCTTCCCCCTCCCCCCCCCCCAGAGGCACAGAAGGTTGGACTGAGGGAAGGAACCAGGAAGTTGGTTCCGGAGCTATAGTAGGTTCAGAAAATAGGTACAGGAGTGCCATAGGGTCTGCTGCTCAAGCTGGAACCCTGGGGAGGGAGATGCTGTGAACAGGAGGAGGGGTGGAAAGGAATGGAGCCTGGGCACAATGTCTCCAAACCAGTGGTTCTCAACTGGGAAAGGGGTCACATATCAGATACTTAACATTCATAATGGTAGCAAAATTACAGTTATGAAGTAGCAACAGAAATAATTTTATGGTTGGAGGGGTCATTACAACACAAGGAACTGTATTAAAGTGTTACAGTGTTAGGAAGGTTGAGAACCACTGGTCTAAATCTTTCAGTCACTCCTACCAATCAAGAGGGGAGCCTTCCTACAAGATGTCCCTCCACATCACTTCCTCGACCCCCTCCCTATTTCCAGCACAGTTGAACTCTCTATTGTGGGATGCTATATTTGAGAGGTCCACTCTGAATAACTGACAAAACTGAGTGACAGTGTCTATTTAGTGAAATGCCTGTCTTCAAATCACAGTAAGTAGAACTCTAAACTAGGCTTCCAGGGACCATAGCTTGCTGGGGTAGGTTAAGTCCCTCCCAAAGACACATTCCCACTGGTGCTTAGCACACCTTTTCTTCACAGATAATGGAAACTCAAGCCCTGGTTTTGTTCAGATTATGAACAAACTTCCAGATCTGTAGGGGTTCAGATTAATGAGGTTTTACTGTACTGCCTCTCCTGGTTCTTCGGTGGGAAGTCTGCCTGGGGTGGAGGGTGCTGGGAGGAGGCTCCATGGAGAGGGGCTGAGGGAGGGTACACAGTTCCAGAAGTGGGAGTTCTGTCAGAGGCAAAGTGAGAGCTAGTTGCTTTTGAGCTGGTTTTCTGGTGTGAGTTATCTCTCTGATCCCCCAGAACCCCTGGATGTGAGAAACAAAGCAGGAGAGGTGTAGACATGGCTGTAGAGAGGGCTGGTTGTGGGTGAGACCATGGCTTGGGGCTGGCATCCCTGCCCCCGCGAAGCGTCTCAATAAGTCCGCGCTCTCCTCTTTGGTGTCTTGCAGGAGAGGCAGCTTCCCCCCCTGGGTCCAACAAACCCGCGTGTGACACTGGCCCCACCTTGGAACGGCCTGGCCCCCCCAGCCCCACCCCCCCCACCCCGGCTGCAGATCACAGAGAACGGCGAGTTCCGAAACACCGCAGACCACTAGCCCACCCAGCATCACAGACCTCCCTCCTTGTGCACCCCACCCCGGAACATCACCAACCACCAGGACTGGACCATCATGTCACCGAGGGACAGCAGGGTTGCCTCCTTTAATGCCTCCTTGAGGCTGGGTCTGCCTCCTCCACTGCACCTTTTCCAGGATGGAGAGTGGGACCCTTAGCTGCCCTCTTTCGCCCCCAGGACACCACCTACCCCACAGACCCCTTCACTCCGGGGTGCTATCCCCACCCTCTGCCTCATAGTTCCCCTGAGCACTGGGGGACAGACCCTCACCCCCACACTGGGGATGTGGCACCTCCAAACTTTCAACTTCAGGGTGATTTTTTAGCAGTAACCAGAGCTGACAATCTTAACTCCCCTCCACCATCCCATTTTGGCCTCCCCTGTCCCCCTTGTTATGGGGAGGGGACCCCGGGTGAGGGGGCCCTATTACCCCTTGATTTCTCAGGAGCAGAGTCTGGGGGGGGCTCACCACGCACAAACCCCTTCTCCTCTTCCCACTCTTAACATTTACTCTCCCCACCCAGAACCCAGATGGGGTGGAGGGGGCCACCGGGGGCAGGGAGGGGGCGGCAAGGGGGGAATGGGAGTTGCCTCCCCTTCTTCCCACACCTGATCTGCTCTTGGCTGGTCCCAGAGCGGGGTGAGGGGGCTTATGCCCCCCCCTCCCCCAGTGTGTTGGGTGGGGTGGAACTGAGGTTCGGATGAGGCGTTAGGGTTTAGGAGGCCATGTGTATTGGGTTGTAGAGGACAGACTAGCTGATCTGCTCTACCCTGACACACAGCCAGCCCCCTGCCCCTTCCCTCTTTTGTCTGTACTCCCATGGGGAGGGGGGAACTTACTCTAGGAAAAGCCATGTCTCTCTCCCCCAGAGTGGGAGGACCTGTGTTGGAGGATGGGTGTTTGGAGGCCCCCTTCCATGACTCTGTCCCCTGGGGGAGGTAGGACAGGGCTGGGCTTCCCTCTCACCCTCCCCCCTCACCCAGTCTCCCTCCCTCCCGCCAGCTCCATGATTTTTCGGTGTTTCTCTGTACATAGCTCTCTGGCGGGACAGGGGAGGTAGGATGGATGGGGTTTGGGGTGGGTAGGCCATGGAAGGGGAGAAATCCCTCCTGGGTACCCCCCTCTTCTCTGACTGCTGTCCCCTATCCAGCCTTGTCTCCTCACCCCTTCTTGCGTTTGGTATTGAGAATTCCTCCCAGACTCCAGACTCGACCTTTTGTATGGACAGCTCTCCTTCAGTCTTATCCCTCTACACATCCACCCAGCCGGGGCCAAATTTATACTTATATAAATGTTGTAAATATGTGAAATTTTATCCCTTGCCCTTTCTTCTGCTTACCCCACTTCAGGCCCTACCCTCGTACCTCCTTCCTCCTCTTTGGCTGTTGTAATTATCTGGGGTTTGTACTGTACATAACCGGGGTAGGGGCTGGGAGGCAACCCCTCTGTACAGAGCTTCCTGGCTCCTAGCCCCGCCCCTCACTCCTCTCCCCACCCACCACCTTAAGAGTAGGGAGCCGCTCTTCTTACTCGTTTTTGTTTGTTTACTCGTTCTCCTTACCGCCCCTGCTCCCAGACCCGTCGCCCCCCCCTTCTCCCACTCCCGCCCCATTTCCTTTTTTTCTGGAGTGTGTGGTGAAACAAAACTCATGTTTAATAAACGGAGATTGTTCTTTTATCGCTGGACTGACCTTTATTTAGTTTTGGTTTTTCGAGACAGGGTTTCTCTGTGTCTGCCTGTCCTAGAACTCTGTAGACCAGGCTGGCCTCGAACTCCTCCTGCCTCCACCTCCCGAGTGCTGGCATTAAAGGCAAACACCACCTCGCCCTGCACTGGGCTGACTTTAGTCTGAAGTCGCTGGAACCACCTGAAGGCTCTAACTACTTCTGGGGAGAAAGCTGTCAGCCTGCAAGCAGTACTTACACTGTCTCACCCAGTAATGCATGGAACGCTAAATACCGCGGCGTCTTCCTGGCCAAATGCCCACTCCCGCTCTCCACCCGCCGCAGGACCCAACCCGAAGGCGCGAGGCTGCGAATGGGCCGAAGCGTACCGTCTCTGCAAAACTCCCTGAGTATAGGTTCCACCGTGAGGACGTTCCTCTGCAGGATGCAGGGAAGAATCGCGGTCCTTAGCGAGTGTACGCTCACACTTCCGGTCTGCTTGCCGCGCGTGCACACTGAGCACAGCAGCACCTACCTCGCGCGGCGGGAGGGAAGACCCGTACTGCTAGAGCTCACCGCGGAAATCGACCTCCGCCGCTCCCCCGACAACGCTCGGCCCGCCCCCGGCTCACGGCCCCGCCCCTCTGGCCGCACAACCAATGAGAATAGAGCTTGTAGGTTGCCGTCCTCCCATTGGCTTCAGGCCTGGCCCCACCCCGCGCCTGGTGCAGGGGCGTCCGGTGAACAGGCGGTAGCTTCCGGCCGGCCAGGAGCAGCGGAGGCCGAACACTTGCGAGGCCGTCTCGCGTGCGGTGGGGGCGTGCCGGTGGGAAGGCGCGTGGCGGGAGCTGGCGGAGCCGGCCTGTGTGAGTGAGCACGGTGAGGCGGGGCGAGCAGCAGCTGAGGGCGGCCCGAGCCGGCGAGGTGGGGCACAGTCCCCTCCCCGGTTCCCGCGGGGCCTGGAAGTAAACACCCTGGTTGGTGTTGTGTCGGTTTTCTGGGTGGGCGGAACTAATGCGCAGAAACTGTCACTGGAAGCTCGTCAGATCGGTGGGGAGCCGCTTGAAACAGGTTTCCTATCCCGAACTTGGGTGACCCCAGTCTCTTTCCTCTGCAGCCTTCGTCCCGAAGAGAGTCCTACTGGTCCTGACTCCCTGGGACTTCTTTCTGAGGTGGCCATGGATGCTTCGACTTTGCCCCCCACACCCTCTTCCCCGAGGTGCAACCCAGCCCATCGGACGATCCACATTGAGTTCCCTCATCATAGCTCCTCGCTGCTGGAATCCCTGAACCGCCACAGGCTGGAGGGCAAGTTCTGTGATGTGTCCCTTCTGGTTCAGGGCAGGGAACTTAGGGCTCACAAAGCGGTGTTAGCCGCCGCCTCTCCTTACTTCCATGACAAGCTGCTTTTGGGGGATGCACCCCGACTCACTTTGCCGAGTGTCATTGAGGCGGATGCCTTCGAGGGACTGCTTCAGCTCATTTACTCAGGGCGCCTCCGCCTGCCGCTGGATGCCCTCCCTGCCCATCTCCTTGTAGCCAGTGGCCTGCAGATGTGGCAAGTGGTAGATCAGTGCTCGGAAATTCTTCGAGAACTAGAGACATCAGGTGGTGGAAATTCGGCTGGGGGAGGAGCCTCCTACCACACAGTTCTTTCCACAACCTCTCCAGGAGGCTGGTGCATCCGATCCTCCCCTTTCCAGAACGCAGCGCAGTCCTCTGCTTCTACAGAGAACTCTGTTTCTACTGAGAGCCCCATTGGAGGAGAGGGGAGCGAAGTAGAAGAAGTATTACAGATTCAGGTGAAGGAAGAGGAGGATGAGCAGGGGTCAGTAGCCCCGCTCTTCCAGTCTCCTCAGCCTCAGAGAATATCTGGAGGGTTTTCCCAAGTTTGTTCATCCCACCCACTGCCTACATCTGCTCTTCCCAGCAAGCCTCCGGAGGATGGGAATTCAACCCCTGAGCCTCTTGCCCCTCCTCTGCGAGCTTCCCAAGTCTTGTATGTCAATCAGGATGCCCTTGAGTCTAAGGAGGAGTCTTCAGGAAGTGGGAATCAGTCTGGAGGAACAAAGGAGAAGACCAAAGCACTCTCTGAAGGGGACTCTGAGGGAAATGGGGAACTAAGATATTTGCTGTCATCGGGAGGAGGGGAAGCATCTGGGGCAGGAGATCCATCCTGGAAGCCAGTGGATCTTCACGGGAATGAAATCCTGTCAGGGGGCGGGGGACCTGGAGGATCAGGGCAAGCTGTGCATGGGCCTGTGAAGCTGGGAGGGACACCCCCTGCAGATGGGAAATGCTTTGGTTGCTTGTGTGGAAAACGGTTTGCAGTAAAGCCAAAACGAGATCGACACATCATGTTGACCTTCAGCCTGCGCCCTTTTGGATGTGGGGTCTGTAATAAACGCTTCAAGTTGAAGCACCATCTGACAGAACACATGAAGACCCACGCTAGAGCTCTGCATGCCTGTCCGCACTGTGGACGTCGGTTTCGCGTCCATGCCTTTTACCTTCGACACCGGGACTTGTGCAAGGGCCAGGGCTGGGCCACTGCCCACTGGACTTACAAATGACTGCTATGCTCTGTACTAACTTGTAGGATAAGATAGCCACTGCTACTCATGGATTCTTACCCTTCACCACCTCAGTCCTGGATCGTGTAGTCATTCCAAGAGATCATATGTGTTATGAGCCCCTTACTCTTGGCTATGGGCCTCACCCTGGTGTACGTGGAAGTTCAGGTTTCTCAGTTCAACTATTTGTTAAGCAGACTCTAGGAAAGTCATGATTTTGATCACCTAAATGGCCCTTTTTATATTGGCAGCCAGTGAGGAAACCATTGACTTTGGATTAGGTTAGTGAGAGCAGAGTTGGGACAAAATGAACTGGTAACTTACTTCACCTTCACCAGGAGGTAAGGGAGCTGGTTTCCAACTAGGAATGTGTTTGATCCAGAGCTCAAGTGATTGCCGAACTCTAAATGTCCTCCCCACACTCAGCAGTGCACTTCTGTTTGCTGTTTCTTTCTAGAGGCCTTTTAGGTTGAACTTTGCTTTCTTACCAGTAGACATCTTCCAAAATATCCTTTTAAAAATGTAGTTGAGCCCAGCCGTGTTGTTGGTGCACACCTTTAATCCCAGCACTTGGGAGGCAGAGGCAGGTGGATCTCTGAGTTCAAGGCCAGCCTGGTCTACAGAGTGAATTCTAGGACAGGCCCTAAGGCTACACAGAGAAACCCTGTTTGGGAAAAAAAAATGTACTTGAGCATGCAACAAGTGTAGTTGCTCATCACATTTAATCCCAACACTAGAGAGGCAGAGGTAGGCAGATCTCTGTAAACTCTAGACCAACCTGGGTAGCATAGTAATCCTGCATAACAAATTCTAGGCCAGTCAGGTACACAGTGAGACCTGGTCTTTTTAAAAAGAAAAAAAGTACTTGAGCACTTTAACATATAGAGCATTTCATATGTAATTCCAAAGCCCCCTAAAAAGGTATTCTCTCAACAGCCTTTGCTCTTGTCTACTGTAGAGTACCACTGACAACTTGCTTATGATCACAATGACAGATGTGACCAATGAACTCAGGAGATGGCAACGGACCTAAAATGCTCTCAGGGTAGCACTATTGCTCTCTGAACAAATTTCCCTGATCAGGACTCAGGGTGGAGACCACACATGGTGGATACTGCAGAATTCTACAGTGGGACCATACTGCCTCCTTTTCCATCCCACCCACACTTGATAGAAACATCTTTGTAGAGGTGGAGGGAGATTTAAAGTTACTTCATTCATTACTTAATAAAGTCTTCCCTGAAATCTAACCTGAAAGTAGACTGGACTGAATGATTTACGTGGAAGAGCTGTGAGAGCAGGGCCACAGCAATGAGTGTGTTCCTTTGCAGCAGTGATGTTGACAAAAGAAGATAGGATGGCCCAACAGATACATCTCAGAATGCTCTCCTGGACTTCAGGTAAGTCATCTCAGGTAAGTCATGTGATGTTTCAGAATCTGTGCCGCTACTGCTTTGTTCTCCGGCTCGATTTGTTTGAGACATCATCTTACTATCTAGCACAAACCGCCCTCAGACTCACCACCCTCCTACCTCAGCCTCTGAATACTGGGATGACAAGCACATACTGCCATGCCACTATTTGAAAGGGTTTGGGTCACATAATGTTAAATTATGTTTTGTTTTGACATCTTATGCGTAGTGTCCGATGGTACTTTGATTTATTCTACAAATACTTAGAACAGAGCATTGTGCTCACCCCTGGTTTCCCTTCACTGGGAAAGTGCCTCAGTGAGTCAGAGCACTTGCTGCCCAGACATGAAACTTGAGTTCAGATCTCAGCAGCCACAGGGAGAAAGCCAAGTGTCAGGCTAACAGAAGGGTTCAGTAGATGCCTACTGAGAAGCCTAATAACCTGAGTTTGCTTCACTTAACTCACATGGTGGAAGGAGAGAATCAATTTCTTCTAGTCCTCAAACTTATGCCATAGCACGTGTGTGCACAATTTAAAAAGGGGGAAAATATTTTTGTGGCTTAGCAGGTAAACTCCACCTTGGATTTATCAAACTCTCAAAAGAGATGAAAAAGAAAGCAGTGAAGGTGTCTGGGATTGACTGTGGTCCTGTCCACCCACTTGACATACATTAGATACGTAGCTATAGCTTTGTGGTCTTGGTTCCTTGGGTTGCAAGCACAGGAAGTTGGCTCCTGGTGACCTTACTAAAATGAGTTTATAGAAGAGTGGGAAGTGGTGCCCGGAGTGAAAGGACGGGACTAAGGAGACCTGTCTTTGGAAGAACAAGCCCTCTCAGAGCTCATGGGGCAAGAGTCCCTGGGCATAGACCTTGAGGTGACAACCTGTTACTGGGAGATGTTGGTTTTGGGAGATGTTGGTTTTGGACTAGAGAGGTCTTGAATGTGGTTTGTACAGGGGCTTCCTAATGCTTGCCCTCTTCTCTCTACTGGCTTAGTGTTGAGATCGTATGGCACATGGCCACACGGCTCATTCTGGTGGTTGTGTTGTTTGGTGTTGGAGTTGAATCCAGAATCTCACGCTGAGCTACAGACAGACTCAGCTGATTCTTGTTCTTGTGGCACTGAGCTGAAAATAAACTCAGGAGAGGACTGGGGACGTAAGTTAGTAGCAGATGCTCGCCTAGCAAGTACAAAGGTTGAGTTTGACCTGAGGACCACAAAATAAAATAAATTTCAATCAGACTCTCAGGTTCATAATTACACTCTAGCTAGAACACCTTGACCACACATTTGCATGCCATGAAGATTTTAATTAATAAGAGGCACCTGTGATCCAAACAGCTTTGCAATGTAAATTTTCTATATAAGCACTCTCTCGCCTTACAATTTTAGATTAAAGCCATCAAGAAACATTACCATATCTGTAGCAAAGGCTAATTCTAAAGCCACTGGTATTTGATAATCAGTTACATCAGTTAAGTTTCTGTGGAGGAAGAGAGCCAGTGGGATATATGTATGCCTGTCCTCAGAGCCTAGAAGTTGTGGCAAGGGCATGCCTGCAGTGTGCAGGGTAGGCAGGCAGGATGCTTATGTCAACTTGAAGCAGAATTCTCCCTTTTCCATGAAATCACTTTGCTCTTAAGGCCTTTGGCTATCTAGACCAGGATAACCCCTTTCATGGGGATGATATGTATGTAAAGCCAGCTGACTGTATTGTTAGCCACACCCTCAAGACTCAGGGTAATATCTGGGTCAGGTGTAACTGAACACCGTGGTACCGTACACTTCGTCCAGGTGACAGTCTTCACAAGAGCCATGTCCAGAAACATTCTAGCCTCTGCTCTGCACTCAAGTCAGAATGAAGCTACAGCACCACTAAAGTCCTCTGGCCCTGTGTGGTAAGGGAAGTCAGAATATTCAGCTTCTATTTTCTTTTTTAATCTTTTTTTTTTTTTTTTTAATTACACAAGGAGGTCAGAACAGCATGTGCTCTCTCCTTCTGCTGTAGCAGTTCTAGAGCCCAAACTCAGGTTGTCAACCTCAGCAGCAAGCACCTTTGCCTACTGAGCCATCTTACTGAACTCAACCTGTGGTACAACAGGTACTTTTTTCCCTGTGTTCCCAGGAGTGTTGGTCATAGTCACACTGCATTGTGCCTTCATTCCAATGTCAGGATGCATTACTTCAGTGAGGACACACTAAAGGAAACGTGTCAATGGTTATCTTGCTGTTATCTGAGCATTGCAGAGTGCTTATGCAAACCTTAAAGGTTTGTGGAATGTACCTGTGTTGACGAAGCATTTATGTGGCACATGACTGTGACATATATACATTGTGGAAATTAGCCAGCCTTTGTTGGTTTGTTTGTCTGAGACAGATCCTGGAGTCCCAGCTGATCTCAAACTCACTGCTTAGCAAGCCAGTGATGGCCTTGAACTCCCAACCCTCCACCTCCACTTCCAGTGTGTGGCACTTCTGGCTTATACCCAGCCTCAAATGGTGTAGTCCTTTTGCTGGAACCAAATACCTGGCAAGAAGCCTCCTACAGGTTGATTTTTGGCTTACAGTTTGGGGAGAAACAGTCCATTGTACTGGGGGCCTCATGAGGTGGCTGGACTTTGCATTGCAGTCAGATTGATGGTTCTGTGACTTCTCATGCTCTCTCTGTTTCATTCAGCCCAGAACTTCAGCCTACAGAATGATGCCACCCATACCAGGGGTGCTCTCGCACGTCAGGGACCTCCAAGGAAAGCCTCAGACAGTTGGTACGTTTGTTTCCCAGGTGATGCCCAGTCAGTCCTACCAAGTTGTCACAGATGTGAAGGGAATTGTAACACTTCATGATGCAGAAGCACAGGTGATTTTTTTCTGCAGCTGACGTAGTGACGCTCCACTTATTCGGGAGAACTGTGGAGGTTATTTAAACTAGAGGGCTGTTGGCTCCTAGATGTGTGGCTTCTGTTTGGGCAGAGGACAGTGTTCTGGAGGTGGATGGATGGTAGTAATATCACAGCAGTGTGAGCATGCCTAATGTCAAAACTACACAGAAAATGGATAAAAATGGTAAACTTAATTAGGTGGATTAAATAAAAAAAAAGAATCCCCCAGTGAATGAATGGATGAAGGGATTGAACATCAGTGGCTGACACATAACAAAAAGACAAGCAGACATTATGTTCCACTTACAGAAAAATGCCACCACCGCATATGAGTTAGTCTTAACCAAAAATATCCACATTGAATATAATGAAGTCTTAAGAGCTAACTGATGCACAGAAAATGGCTAGAGCAGGAGGGAACATGTTGAGTCAACCAGCAAAGCTGAAACTAAGGACAGGCAGCTCAGCTTGACACACAAAAGTACTTTGCAAGAGGGGAAAGGATGGATTTAAAAGAATTTTAGTGGCTGGCCATGATGGATTTAAAAGAATTTTAGTGGCTGGCCATGATGCTGCACACCTTTGATCTATCTCAGCACTCAGGCAGGAGAGGGAGGACCTCTGGAAGTTATAAGCCAGCTCAACCTTCATAGCAAATCCAGGCCAATGAGGGCTGCATAATAAGAACCTGTCTCAAAAACAAATAAGCACAGGAAAGAATCTTAGTGGGTAAAGTGCTGTGTGTGTGAGGACCTGAGTTCAGATCCCTAGCAATCAAAAAGCTGCTCATGGCCTTTAATCCTAGTACTGGGAAGGTGCAAACAGGATTCCCAGGGCTCACTAGCCTGACCATCTATTGATGAGTGAGTTCCAGGTTCAACATGAGTCTCTGATTGGAGGGCTCAGCAGGTAGGAGTGCTTACAAACAGGTCTCATGACCTGAGTTTGTTTGGTTCCCCGATCCACAAGGAGGCAGCAGAAAATTGAGTTGTCTTCTGACTTCCAAGTGATACAATGTTGTGTAGGTGCACACACAAACATATGCATCAATAAATTTTTAAGTTTCCTTTTGAAGAAAAAAATATTAAGGTGGAGAGCCCTAGAGGAAGACACCTAGTGTCAGCCTCTGGCTTCTATGCACATACATAGGTAAGCACAACACGTTATACACATGCACACAAAACAATAGAAATAAAGAATTTTGAAAATATAACCATTATGGATCATAGTTTAAAAAATGATTTTTTTTCCTAAGACAAGGTCTTACCCTGAAGCCCAGACTGTCTTTGAACTTGTCCAAGATCTTCCTGCTTCATCCCCCCTAGTACTACAGTTATAGGCATGTACCACAAAGAACAGCACAGTGTTTATTCTTCTTTTTTTTTTTTTTTTTTTTTTTTTTTTTTTTTTGAGACATAATCTCCCGGGCTGGTCTTGAAGTGGAAATCTCATTCCTACCTTTCTGAGAGTTGTGGTTGCAGATGTGTAACCCAGATTTAAAAAAACAAAACAACAACAACAAAAAAATGTTTACGGGCTGGAGAGATGTTGGAGGTTGAGAGCTCTGGCTGCTCTTCCAGAGGCCATGAGTTCAATTCCCAGCAACCACATGGTGGCTCACAACCCTCTGTAATGAGATCTGGTGCCCTCTCCTACGGTGCAGGCATGCATAGAGGCAGAATGTTGTATACCTAATAAATAAATAAATCTTTTTAAAAATGTTTACAAAACCATGGTATGAGAACCAGGACTTAGCAGAGTGATAGTGTTTGCCCAGTTTAAGCCTGGCTGCTGAAGATAAATCAGAGATGAGAAGGGACTTGTGGAGGCTGTGGTCACCATGGTTCACCCGTGGGTGATAAAGTGAGTGAATGGCTGTGGAAGGAAGGACTAAGGGAGGCAAGTTGAGCATCTTCTTTTAGCAGGGGAATGGGGAAGGGGAGCTGGTGCCTCATC